CTTATCGGGTAGCCTATGAAGTAATGTAGTATAATAACTAAACTCATTTACTTATCAAAATTGATAAATAGCTTTTGAAAACTTAAAGAACTCGTTACTGATCACACAAAGAACAGGAAGTAGTGGTCAAGGTGTGAAGTGTGTACTGGACAAGAACAAGCAAATGTGAACCGTGCCACAGAATTTCTCGGGTAGCATCACTAAAACTACTCCTAACCCGAAACATATTATAAGTAGCAAGAGAGTGAAATACTTACATCCTGTCACCCTCTACCCAGTCCTATATTTACAATTTATAGAACATAACAAAGCATTTTTTTAGTTAGGAATACCACAGATCAGTTGCAGGTAAACATTTGTGGACCCGTACGGTGCGGCGTCAGTGAAGAATTTGTCGAATCCAGACGGTGACGCCGCGGGGCAGAGCGAGCACTGCTAATCCTTCAAGCCAGCCCAAGAGGAGACCTGAAAAAGTCTTTGCTATGAACTGTAAAATGCAAGATGGATATCAGAGGCCCGAAAGAGACTGGTAATCGGAAGGACCTGTAAGTTGTAGCCAGAAGTATTCCTCATCGAAGGGCTCTCGAAGGCTTTCTCCAGTTACTTGAAACTAGACTTGCAGGGGAGGATGAATAGACTGACTGTTCCTGGCCTGTACCCCTAGTCGCTGTGTAGGCAAAATGTCCTTCAAACCGTTATTTTATTCTGACCGAAGGTTGAGTGCGTGGCGCATACCGAAAGGGGACTATCATCGTGAATTTCCTACACCTCATGTTTTCTTATATTTTGGCAGAGTCACTTATTCTTTCTCAACAGGCTATATGTTTCGAGTTGGTCATTCTCAATGGATGCGCCATGCATCGGCTTTCATATCGTGAACGCATTTTGATGCTTTTTGCGTGCGCATTCACTTAGAGAGACCAGCTGCTGTTTCACTATTTGAGAAATAGACACACTGCTGGTGTTCCGGCTTCCCACTTATACACTACCCCCAACTTCCAAGTTAAGCGGTGAACAATGCCCTTCCATTCTTTTCCCTTTCCAAGGGTTAAATTGGAATTTGTAAACGAAAAGTGCCAACCTCCAAGTGCATCACTTAAATAATGGCGTCCCATTGCCACACGACTCATAGCAACCACCACCGCCATCAGCATAGCGGCAAATCGATATTTCGGAAAGAAAGCCGCACTAAAATTAGCTCATCAAGAATATATCAAATATTTTCCAATATGTGGATAGTTTCAGTGCATGGCAGGTCCGAAAGCCTGCATCTGATTCCTCCCGTGAAACATGTCGTAATTACGGACTTATGGCCTAGGTGGCAGCAAATAGCAGAAAAGCATCAGACAGCACACACAGCACATGTGGTATCATTTTTTGAAGACGTCGTGGTGCCAACTTAGTTGGAGGGGGACCACGCGGCGGCGCGGCGCTTTGCTCGCCTGGCATCTTTGCGTACTTCGGGAAATCCGTGAGCCAGGGGGACTGTAGGCAGTCTAGGGGGGTGGGGGTGAGGGCAGTCACTTGACATGCGTGAAAAGCTGGAATGTTCGAGTTTACACTATCTCGCTCGAGAGAGCGCCAGGTGAGCAAAGCGCCGCGCCGCCGCGTGGTCCCCCCCCCCCCCCAACTAAGTTAGCACCGACGTCGTCACTAGTGTCACTCGGTCCGCAAATGCGACACGTCTTGTCGCGAGGAACAGCTAAGTAACGTACCACAATGTGGCTAACATTGCTGCTCTAGAACTGTGTCCCAGAAGGAAAGGAGAACTGATCAGCGATTGGAGCTTCGAATTTCTGAATATACTCTGTATAAAATACAAATGGAAACAAAAACACATCTGCTGCACCTTTCAGTATCCACAAATGAAACCTACCCATCCGGATATATAAATAAAAGCATGGCACTCGCGAGCCATTCATGGCTCTTTAAGAAGCGTGAGCGTGCCACACAAAGGAAACTATAGATGCCAGAGCGCGTACTGGAATGGTAGCCCAGAGGGGGGGGGTGGAGCGATGCGCGGTGAGAAGGTGGGGCATCAATGAATTGATAAGTGTTTGGTAGGGAGGGGGCTAGTTGTCAATGATGATCCGATAATGGCGTCAGATAGCTTTCATGAAGCTGACAGAGCAGGTAAACAAAAGGGGCGTGATGTACGCACGAGTTTGAGAACATTGATCCTATAAGCCAGGCTTTCAACTCATTTAGGAAATCCCACCAAGGGCCACCCCTAAAAGAACAAAGCTCGCAAAAAACCCCACAACTACTACTTTCTTGATCAACTTTTCGCTTCGAATGCTCCTGAAAGGTTACCTGATCCTTGACGTTATATCCTGGACGAGGTCGTTGAATCACCAATTTCAGAATGCACGACAAGATTACATCTAATAGGAGACCTTAAATGAAAATCCATTTACTTCTCTTTTCTCTTTTCTTTCTCTTTTGTTTTTTTTTTTTTCTTTTTTATTCTGAGGATGCATGCTCCTCGCTTGAAGCGACAGTCCAGTAGGGTTTGATCCTGCGACATAGGTGGTATACCGATGGAACGATGCGCTAGCCCTAGTCAAGAGTAAAAAACGTAAAAGAACGACTGAACAAAAAACTCACCTTGGAAAGCCGCTAGAAAGGGAGCTGAACAGCTTCGAAGTGGGCGTGGTTGTCGGCTGCAATCCCCTCGGCCGATTGAAACCACGCCCACTTCGAAGCTGTTCAGCTCCCTTTCTAGCGGCTTTCCAAGGTGAGTTTTTTGTTCAGTCACACTTTTTATGTTCTTGACTAGGGCTAGCGCATCGTTCCACACCATTAGTGTCGAAGGTAAAACCCTGCTGGGACTGTTGCTTTAAGACAGCATAGAGGTGCAACAGCATCGCACGCTATACGTAGCTCTGACAGTGAGGTGCTGCGTCGTCCAGATAAGCTAATTCTTCTACCGTGGTTAAAAAATTTCTGCTGGATCGCTCTTGAAGAAGGAAAATGCTTGAAAAAATGCTATTTCTTTTCATTTTCCAAGTACTTGCTTCGAGCACAAAAGTTAGTGCGCATCATATTCACATTTCACGCCACCTCATTTTTTCCTCGTATTCCTCCCCAAAGGCCAGTGTCAAACTTTAGAATCAAGCGATTCGCTAGTAGCGAATCGCTCGACACGCAAAGTCTGACACTGGCCAAAAGGGTACAAAGGAAATGAATTTGGTGAGCGCTATCGCGGAGCAATCAGTGCGCCATGCTTTATTAAGATTTACTGGAATCACTTCAATGCATCAAGACCCGCATGAATAGTTCGCTTGATGTTCTAATTTCTACATTTGCAGACACAATTGACCTACACGTGGTGGCACTGAAGCCTTTAAATAGAATCGACCCAATGACGCTATGCATGCGGAATTTCCCTTTTGGTCACTAGCTAGTAGATAACTTGAAAATAGAGAAAACCCTTTACCTATGTTTAGAATGACAAGTTGATGTTGGGTCTCTCGATTCCATCGTCCACTGACTGAACATACCAGGGCAAGCGTGCTACCGATAATCCATAGGTAGCCGTTCACCTGCAGTGGCATTGTTCATAAATTGGCCAATTAAAGTAAAAATAAACTCTCAGCCAGAATTCACTGCAGTTTTTAAAGGCAATTTTACGCTGGTGTAACGTAGCTAGTGGGGTCAAACACAAAACTATGGGTACTGTGTCCAGTAAACAATGATCAACCGGTAAACGAAAGAAGAAGAAAGCAGAGAAAATATCAGATACGATAACTCGTTTGGCAGCTGATCAGGGACGTTGTAGCTTACCCTTTGGCGCAGCAGATGAGGACCATAACGGTAGATTCCAGCGACGTAAATAGGAAGTATAA